CGCCCCCGGCCGCGCGGCTGCCAAGAGGCCCGCGGCACTTTTTGGCGACGAGCAGCAAAATCCGTTTGTGTGGCCCACGTGGCTCCTCCGCCTCGTCCCTGCCCCCCGCCGCCGCCTCCTCACTCCCGCCGCGCTTGTGTGCTTCCCCCCAGCTCCTTTGCAAAGCAGCAGCTTATGTCATGTCACCCACACGGCGGATTATGACTTCAGCCAGGGATCAAGCAGAAGGAGATGAGTTAAGAGGGAGATTTTAGTCCAGCTCGAGTCTCCTCTGCACTAGGTAGGGCAGCACAGGGAGAAGGGGATGAGGTTTGTGTTAACTTACTTCCAACCCTCAGAAGACCCGGAGAGTAGCAGGTAGGTTGTGTGTGAAGGGTCTTGCCTTTTAAATTAGCTATCTCAGTCCAGGAATATATTGCCCCACGGGCTGCATAAAAGCAGAGTAAATTGTAGGCAATGAAACACGCCACTTAACATCTGGCTGTTTTTTCCTAATACCTTTTTCATACACCACTTTTGGGAAGTAAAGGGTGACCTTAAAAAACAACTACAGATTCATCTGTGGCTACACACATTGGGTAATGAATTCCATCACAAAAATAAGAACAGCAACATCTATTTTAACATCTATTATTATTATTTATTTCACAGTTGCTCGAACCAGAAATTATGCTCACAGTATGATTATGCTCACAGTAGTAGACGGTCCTTGCTGCACACAGTTTATAATCTAAATAGATAAAACAGTCAAAAGAAGAGATCATCCTCATTATGTAAATGGGAAATTGAGGCAGAGATTAAATCTCCAGTCCTGCAAAAGAGTTACATACTAAACTGAAACAGTATGCTCAGCTTCAAACATAAATTATACCTTGGACTCCAAAAAGTCACAGGACTGGCTTAAAATTCATGAAACTGGCTTAATACATGTTTTAATTCTCTTCTGCACTTAAGGCTCTGCATTTTGGGGGGTTTCTCTGCAATCATGAGGACTAGAAACTTACTTTATAAAAGGGTGATAGTCTCATGTACTTATATGACTTTAGGAACAGGGGCTTTATGAAAGTCACCAAACAAAATGAGATTTGTGATAAAATTATGAAAGTTGACATTGCTGCTTTCTATGCAGGAGTAATCCCATTGAGACTACTACACAAGCAGTGACAGACCTGAAAATTGGATTCAGACTTTGAATCCCAGACCAGATCCCAGAGCCATCCCTGTCCATAGGATGGTTCAGGATGGCTGTCCAAGGCCCTACGCTTTGAGGGACTCTGCAGCAGCCACTTCAACTATTCTATTGATGGGACCCTGGGAACCAGGGCATTAGAGGATTACTGGAGGTTTGGTGCAGGGCAGCGGCAAGGTCAGCTCTCTCAGCTCCCATGCTCACCATGGCAGTAGGAGCCAGAGCAACCCAGTAGCCTGTTCTGCAGTACTGTAGCCTGATTTGGCTATGACAAATCAGGAAAAAGATCTTGGAGTTATCGTGGACAGTTCTCTGAAAACTTCCACGCAGTGTGCAGCGGCGGTCAAAAGGGCAAATAGGATGTTAGGAATTATTAGGAAAGGGATAGAAAATAGGACCCAGAATATCTTACTGCCCCTGTATAAAACTATGGTATGCCCACATCTTGAATACTGTGTACAGATGTGGGCTCCTCACCTCAAAAAAGATATAAAAAGATATTTTGGCCTTGGAAAGGGTTCAGAAAAGGGCAACTAAAATGATTAGGGGTTTGGAACGGGTCCCATATGAGGAGAGGTTAAAGAGACTGGGACTTTTCAGTTTAGAAAAGAGGAGACTGAGGGGGGATATGATAGAGGTCTATAAAATCATGAGTGGTGTAGAGAGGGCCGATAAAGAAAAGTTATTTATTAGTTCCCTAAATAGAAGAACTAGAGGACACCAAATGAAATTAATGGGGAGCAGGTTTAAAACTAATAAAAGAAAGTTCTTCTTCACACAGTGTGTAGTCAACCTGTGGAACTCCTTGCCAGAGGAGGCTGTGAAGGCTAGGACTGTAACAGAGGTTAAAGAGAAGCTAGATAATTTCATGGAGGTTAGGTCCATAAAAGGCTATTAGCCAGGGGATAAAATGGTGTCCTTGGCCTCTGTTTGTCAGAGGCTGGAGAGGGATGGCAGGAGACGAATTGCTTGATCATTGTCTTCGGTCCACCATCTCTGGGGCACCTGGTGCTGGCCACTGTCGGTAGACAGGATACTGGGCTAGATGGACCTTTGGTCTGACCCAATACGGACGTTCTTATGTTCTTATGTCCCAGCCTGCTCTGCTTCATTGCTCTGGGAGATCAGTGATGTGGTGGAGCAGAGCAGGCTAACAGGTTGCACCAGCTCCCGCTGCTTCAGGGAGTATCTGCTGCAGTGAGTCAGGAGAAGTCAGGGGGGAGTAGGGCCTATCCTTGCTACCACCCCATGCCAGGCCCCCCGGTAATTCCCTGGCTTGTGTCCGTCAGTGATGGGGAGAGTGCAGGGCAAGGTTGGGGAGGGAGGTTTGAGCAAGAGCTGGGCTTGAGGAAGGGGGGGGGGGGGCGGCTGGAGAGAGGGAGGCAATTGCTTGAATTACTCTTGAATTACAGCCCATAAAATAGGTTACTGGTTCCACTCTTCATCTTATAATTCAATAGGAAAAACAATTCCTGTTTTTCACAAAAACAGTATCAATAAAACAATTCACTTTAAAACATGTTTATAAAACAACTAAGCTTATTTAAAATAAGAAATAAACTGAAAAACAGACTGTTGTACTGTTCACTCCCATTTTCAAGCAAGTTACAAGAAGCATTTGATCAAGGTAAAATTTTTTCCCTGGAAACAAATCTCTTGTGCTTCTGCCCATATTATATATTTATATAAAAACAAAATGCCCAAAGTGTTTTGGTTTTCCAACACGGGGGTTTGGATATGTAGTTTTTGTTAACATATCCAAATATAGGAAACCAGGCAGCAACAAACTTCCCACAGTTTAACTTGTAGCAACAAATCATTTAGTTATAACTATTTAAAACTACATTGTATCAAGCAATTACGATTCCATTTCAGGGTGTTGCTTTTATGTACCCCCACAATAACATAATTAAAACAAAAATCGAATGAATACATAGAACTGTGCATTACAATGATTCATCAGGTTTAACTGAGGGTTCACTAAAAAAAAACAACAACAACATTGGGGCAAATCTAAACAGATGAGATGGGTTTTGGGGTTTTTTGTTTTCGTGTTAGATGTACTCTTTCCATTGCAGGGACAAATCCACTCCCTTTTCTGAAATTAATTTAAAAAGCAGAGCCAAAGTGACTTAAGTTTGCAGATGATACCAAGTTGGAAGGGGCTGCAACTGCTTTGGAGAATAGGGTCATAATTAAAAATGATCTGGACAAACGAGAAATGATTTGAGCTAAATAAGATGAAGTTTAATAAAGGACAAATGCAAAGTGCTCCACTTAGGAAGGAACAATCAGTCTCACACATACAGAATGGGAAGTGACTGTCTAGGAAGGAGTACTGCAGAAAGGGATTTAGGGATCAAAGTGGACCACAAGCTAAATATGAGTCAACAGCAAGGATGGGCAAAAGCGCCAATCAGGTGGATCTGGCCCGCAGAGGTCTTGCCGGTCCCCCGCCCCCAGGCCAATTAGGGCCTGAAGGTGGGGGAGCGCCCAAAGTGCTGTGCGCTGCTCGCAGGACAGGGGCAGAGCGGAGAAGTCTTTGCAAGTCCCTCTGCCCCCAGCCTTGATTGGCCTGGGGGCAGGGGAGTATGCAAAGCCTCCTCCCGCCTTGCCAGGAGCACATGGTGCTTTGAAGTGCTGCACGCTGCTCGCAGGGCAGCGTGGGGGAGAACAGAGGAGGCTTCATGTGCTCCCCTGCCCCCAGGCCAATCAGGGCCTGGGAACAGGGGAGCTGTGTGAAGCTTCCTTCACCCTGCCCCGGCCCTGCGAGGAGCCCACAGCACTTCAAAGTACCACATGCTCCTCGCAGGGTGGGAGGCTTCCCACGCTTCCCTGCCCCCAAGCCCTGATTGCATGGGTGTCTAGTGGGAAGGGGCGGACAAAGGGGCTCCCTCAGACCCAGACCAATCATGGTCTGGGGATGGGGTAGCCCCGCTCCTTCCCATTTAGGCTCCACCCCTTCCGGGCTGGCTTGGGGCTACTTTAAAAATTTTTGAAGTGCCTCCCCGGGCAAAAATTATTGTCCACCCTTGGTCAACAGTGTGACCGTATTGCAAAACAAGCAAACATGATTCTGGGATGCATTAATAGGAGTGTCGAGAGCTAGACATGAGAAGTCATTCTTCCACCCTACTCTGCACTGATTAGACCTCAATTGGATATTGTGTCCAGTTCTGGGCACCACATTTCAAGAAAGAAGTGAAGAAATTGAAGCAGCATCTAAATACCTCTAAGGTTCTGGGTCCACAAACCTCTGGACTGGTTCTCTGGCCCTGGCAGTAAAGTTCCAGA